AACTGGGATTGATTTTGCCTACCGAATTGCATTCGTATGCTGGCCTTAATGAAACCTGAAGGAAGATTGTCTTAAGGTTTTGATCGTCTACTTGAACGCTATCATCCTCAGCACACTGTTCTCCCACCCAAATGAATCTGTTCAGATTTGTTCTTTCAGGTCACATACATCGTCAGAGCGTAACTTTCATAAACACACCAAGCTCTGATATTTTCCGGGTAACGATTTTACCTTTGAGCCCACATATCCATGTTTAAAATCCCACTCAAAGGGCTGGTGATGCCTAGGCCAGCACGAAACTCAAGTTCCTTCTGGATGATGAAACATCATCATCCCTATTAATTTTAACAATGCCTAAAGGCCAATCTGAGACTGGCCTCCCTTTGTTTTTTTCGTTTCTTCATTGGCGTTTGAAGCTTCTCTCAATTCATTAACCTCTTTGACCTACAGACTAGCTGAGACTTACAATCATCTGGATACATCTGACCTCGGGTCTTTCCCACTTCCTCGGAAAGTCATGAATCCACGTATTATCGTATGTTTCATGGCTTTGTGCATAGGTTAAATAATGCCAAGCACACGTAGATAGAGAGTTAGAGTGATTAAAGCTTTATTTATCTGCCTCATCTGTAACTTTACTCGATCTGGCCTCATTTCCGCAGCCTTGTCTTGTTGTCAGAGAGACCCCGACTAACACCCATCGTCCGAAGTCCTCTTCATTGGTAGTCGCCATAATTTATTTTATCTGACTTTGCACATTCCATGAAATTTCACAGGCATCATAGTCAGCATTGTAGATGGAATCATCGTTGAGCCTTATCTAGCTTAGCACCAAACGACAATTCATCACTTTATTGTCTCAGCGAGGTTGCCACCAAAGCTGAAGCCATATTATCTTCGTCTTCATAAACTCTATTGTATTTATCTTAGCTTAGCTGCATTCTTACGCCTGACTTTATTCGATCTCGAAAATGTTGTTTCTCATCTCGGTAAATCAACTCAGTTGCCAACATAAAATTGATGTAGGAAGATCAACTTGATATGTACTTTGGAATGGTCGCGGCCTCCTGTTATTGTATAGTAGTTCTTGATCTTTTTTTAGCAACTTAGTCATATTTACTGGAAGACCGTGAGGAACGCACCTTGTCAGGAATCCATCGTGTGCTTGAGCATTTTTAGAGTCGGACCATGGACTTGGTATATTTCCAGATATTTCGCCAGCATCTTAATCGGCATCATCAGTGAGCCTGGTCACGCTTCGCACCACACCACAACTCGTCAATGGGACAATTGGAATCAATCCTTTCACCAATTGTCTGCTAAACAGTTGTCGGATCTCTACTTCTGACCCCCCTCCTATTCTATATACTCGTAACACTCATTCACTATCATAATTTCTGACTTGCTTATCTAAACCTAGTTGAGATGTGCCCTTTTGAGTGGATCTAGTTAAACCTATTCACACCTCCCGCTGGTTCCCACATCCCTTCTCACCGTGTTGAGAGTGTTGATCCAGGGCTGCAGCTTAGTATGTAATCCTCTTCCTCCACGTCCTTTTAGAGTCTCCCCCTTAGTCTTTAGATCAGTCTTTTTTAGGCCTGGTTTGGTGATTTCACCCGATCACTGCAACCATATCCGTGCTACTCGAGGCGTGATATTTTACTTGATGTATATGAGATGTATTCACTCTTTCGTTTGGGGTGATGAAGTACTGGTAGTTGAATTCTCCCACAATGATACGAGTAGAGCCGTAGCTTCCATTGAATTACTTATGCCCTTGCTTTCCAGGGTTATGTTCTACATTCTGCCTCAAGTCTTCCCAACAATATAAAAAAGTTGCAAAATCGAGGTCAAAAAACTTCTTAAAATGGAGACTTCGAGGAACATATCGCCCACTACCATTGATATCAGGCGCTCTTACAGCATCGCACTGTTGACTGTGTAGATTCTCATACATTTCCCTGGCATCGTTTTCGGCATCTCTATTAAAAGGCATCAGCCTTAGCACAAATTTATAACTAGTCGAAGTGATAACTGGAGGCAATTCTTGACCAATTTTATCTTCAACAATTATGCCATTTCTCCCCCAGCTCAGGGTTCATTCATCTTGAATCCCAATTTTTATGGCCACTTTTCATATATGAATCTCTGTATCCCCGTTTGCTTCGAGTTCCTTAGATGCGTGTTCTTTTAAGTGGGTTTAGTGTGGCGTAATCCTCTTCATCGGCCTTGCATTCCATCTAGAGGGTTTTCTCGTTCCAAGTGATTCCCTCACTCGGAATTACACTTTGTCCAACTTTTTCTAATCGCTATATCTTGCCCTTAAATTCGTCTTATATAACTGACTAGCCATAATCCCTCAATCCTGGCTACTGTATCTGTTATACTCGAGGTCTTATCTGCATGACTGGCGCCTAACGTATGATAGAATATGCACTTGCTACTTTTCAGATGTGGATAGAATCTGGTTTACGTAGGATACCTTAGTTGATTCGGGTTAGCATGCCTTTCATTTTGTTTGAAATAGTGGGTGGCAGGAATTCATAGATTGATTTACCGGAAACCGTTGGAGGATTGCAAGGAATCACTTATGATATTGACGAATGATAGTGCCTATTAGCTTCACGAGAGTGTTTGTATTCAATTTTACTGACTAGTTACATGGCTCACTTAGAAGTTCGGCTAACTTTAAAGCCGCACCGGGTTCCTAAGCTATTGGTCAGATTTATGGACGACTACTGTATCCTATGACAGCATGAAAGAGTCTGGAAGAACTACTTAGGTAAATGAATAGATTAGATAGGACGACTGAATTTACGACGGAATAATAAAAGGATAGCAATTAACCCTTTTTCATGTCCTGATTAATAAATAAGGAAACAAATTAAATAGGAAAGTGGTTAGAGAACCCATAAATGCAGGCTTTCTTCTTAATTTTTTATCAACTTGTTCTTATTATGCTAAGCAAGGGATTATGACTTCCATGATAATAAGGAGTTTGTGCCTGGCAGACATAAATGACTAAAATCAAGAGCTAGAAAGGGTAATGAAAATCTTTACAAAGAGCTTCTATCGGCTATTATTAATTGTCACTAATTTCGCAATAGTAATAATAGAAGGGGAAACAAATATTTAAGACAAAACAAATAATTGGGTAAAACTTCATCCCGTTTCCTGATGCTACCGTCTTGCCAGCTTTCGATAAGAAACTTTAGGAGCATGCATTAAGAAAAGCTAGCTCTTTTCTTGGTCATATTTTCTAATAGAGCATATCATGACCCTTTCTCCTATTCACGCTACTTTAAGGTTTTCTACTCTTATTGTAGTAGCTATGTGGGCGAGACTTGTTGTCCCATTCATTAGAGGTTATCCGGACGCAAAACTATCTGAAAAATTTTATGAGTCCCGAAACTGGAGGTGGTTGAATGCTTAGTGACTACAGTACACTTAACGTTTTGCAGAATATGGAGGCTCCACAGAAAAATGGAATAATAGGGAGTCAATTGGAATTAACAAAACAAATTAAGTAAAGATCACAAGATCCCTGTCCTTACATCTTCGATTAAAACAAATAACATCCTGAATAGTGGTTAGGATTCTGGGAAATTAAGCAAGATTTCCTTCTTGCTATTTAATACAATTAAGGAAAAGGAGAGAGATAGTACAATCCACCGAATTAAAAGAGAAGCCTTGACTAACCAAAGTCTGGTTGGAACTCGAAAATGTTGGCGGACTTATGAGTAACACTGCGCCCGTATACTCAGAAATTTAAAACGATCTTCAAAATGGCAGGACGATACGATAGTTAAGGAAACAGATTTGATCGCATCCATTTCCTTTTCATGCATCAACCTCACTCATCTGCAAGCATGTGAGGTAAACAGGCAGTAGCAAACCAGAGCATGGGATGCCTCATTGAGGCCGAAAATTAGGTATAAAAATCAAGCATGATTTAGGCTAGCCACCTTGTCTGATTTTGTGATTTTCGTAGTGCCTGCACAGGGGGGGATGAGGAAACCAACGGGGAATGTGAGATGGCCTCAACTAGATTAAGATAAGCTAGTAAAAATTGTAATAATGAAGGGGTGTTACGAGGATATAGGATGGATGAATATACCCGAATTGAAAAGGAGATCCCACAACTATTTAGCAGACAATTAGTCAAAGGATTGACTTCACTTGTCTCTTTGGCGAGTTGTGTTGTAATGCTAAGCATGGCAAGGCTCACTGATGATGTCGACGAAACGTCTTGGTATGTACCAAGTCTATGGTCCTACTCTGGACATGATCATGCATAGTATGGACTCTGGACAAGCTATGTTCATCTCGGCCTTTCTGTCAATATGACTAAGTAGCGAAAACAAGGTCAAAAAACTAAGGAAATTATTTTTTCTACCCCTAAGGATGTCTGTCAAATGACACATGGAATCTCAACAAGGATTCATAGGGGCTGCAGGACGGTGAATAGAGGCCTTCTTGATACAATCCAGCGTTCAGAACTATAATCCAATCTTTCTGTTTTAAGTGAATTCTTTCCATCCGCTTTTTCAAACAAGATTTAATTTTTACCGACATCAGTTGTCACTGACGAGCTGTAGGTCTTTTATACTGAAAGCGCTTCTTGTCTACACCATCTTTTACGATTCCTGCAAGACATTTTGGAATGTACCTAGTCCTTTTTCGGATGCTGAACGAGTGAATGATATCAACGGCGAAGTATTTAGTAGCGGTACATTCTCCTAAGTTCTGACTTTATTACAAAAATAATGTAAACCAAATTTATAGAACAAAATAAGACTACAACTAAACCTCAACATATGTCATCCAAGCCTTTATATCTACTTTCACTTACCAAATGTTCAAGCAACGATATGAAAGGAGGTCATTTGAAAAATTTTGTGTTTAAGGATGCTATAATTGTCTTTCCCTCTTCATTCCCTTAACTGACTGGACTTTTTCCTCCACATTTTCCTGACACAGACCGTTTTGGATCGACGTTGTGACCGTTTTAAAGGCTGCCAACAACAGGACGCCCAAGAGTTTCTTGTCGTCCTGCTCGACTTGCTGCATGAAGAGCTGAAGTCTGACAGCCATTTGGATTCAGACCTTGCCAAATTGGCTTGCAGGAATAACACCGTCATTACCACCTTGGCCAATGATGTATCTGCAGCTGTACCTATCAAGACTACTTTTGCCCTTACTTCTTCCCCCGACACAACCACAAGCCATCAAACTCTCTCAAAATCACATTCTGTGCCTTTCACGTCTCCGAGCTTCACAGAAACGGCTTTGCTAAGGAGCCCTCGAATTCGGTCCAGTGAAGCTACACCTGATTTGGTGTTGGATCAGCAGAAGGACCTAGAAGCCGCTAAAGAGGTGTGTTTTAAGTGGATTGATGTTGAAATTATTAATCGTTTGACTTCTAGGCTGATTTTAACCTATTTTCCACAGGATGCTGATTGACAACCTACAATATAGGGATGGAAAGGGCCTGAATTTTGTCAAATCATACTTACCTTTTGAATACCCGATATAATGAAATATATGCATTAATTTATTGTGCACGACGCTTGCATCTGCTTGACTACAGACAATGGTAAAATAATTTTTAGGTTAAATGTCAAATAAGTTTTAAACAAACCACCAGCGTTGCGGACAACACGACTTGTGATATTTTATAGACCCTTAATTTTTTTTATTTCTAAAATTCGTTTTGACCCCCTTGGGCTTTTTATTCGGGTTGAAAATAAGTTACATCTTTCTGGCGTTATCAAACCCAAATATTATACTCGTTTTGGAGAATAGTGATATTTTCTGTGTTGAAATTGTTTGATCTATCGAAGTTTTACTAAGAAATATCAGCTGTAACTGTTTTGTGTATGGTTGTATTGTATTTCGTCTTGAAGCGAGATAATTTGCCAATTTGGATTAGTTCTCTCTGTTGTTTGCACATTTCTGTTAAAGCTACCTGCTCTTTAGACGATGTTTTTCAAAAAGTCAGTCAGGCCTACAAAAGTAAGCTGATTCGTCACTATGCTTTTCCCTGCAAGGCTACTCTACATGAC